AGCAACTGCCAAATTCGAAGGCTTCAGCTGTAGTATCCTTCTATACCTATGATACGTGTCTTTTCCCGATTTTCTGACTACTTTCCACTGTCATTTGTGGCTGCATGCCACCGGTGCGCTGTCACGCGGTCTCGCTGTCTGACCGCGGGAGGTGCGACGCACAGGCTATCAAGTTGAGAAAACTTGAGTATCTGTTTCGTTTTTAGAGTAAACCTTTTCTTAAAAGTGCTATTGAGCGCCTCCATTGTGTAATTGTTCATTTGTGTTCGTTATCTCGTCAAAATGGATGGCACCGTCGCCGTGAGTCCTTTTGGTTATCACACACGTGCTTCCAGTTTGAGCAATCGAATGAATCGGTCACATACCCGTATTTAGCGTGCATGTGATGCTCATAGTTTTTCTACCAATTCACTATTTACCTTGTGAATCGCTTTTGTGGGGAGTTTTTTTGTTTTTTTTTCTCTCTCTGCACGTGCTTTCTACGAGCGTGGATGGATGTTTAGTTGTAGTAAACAGTGTTTCCCTGTTCATGCTCTCGAATCACCGCTTTAAAAAGTTTTGCACTACAAGTGCGCTTTGGCACCAGTTCGTATAAGCTCGAGGTACCTGGTGCCCACCTAACTTTGCAGCAAGTCTTTGTTTCCTGTCCTCATCTATGCGCACAAGACTCGCGTTTGCCTTTTCAGTTTTTTTTAAAATTTATTTTATATATATTTTATTTTAGTGTGTATCGGCGCTGATAACTTATTAGAACCAGGATGGACAAAAATAATGATTAAAAGAAAAATCTGATTTATGTGATTTATATTAGATTTTTTATGATTTAATTTGCTGATAAGCTGCTCTAACATTTTCTGCTCCTAATCTGCTCCAAACTGTAGACTTTTGTGCTTTGAAGTTGCTCCAAAATGCATAAACTGCTGCTCCAAAACAAGAATTTTATGCTCCTAAGCTGCTCCAAAATCCAGACTTTTCTGCTGCAAAAATTGCTCCAAAACCTGTTTCACCTGTCTCACCCCTGTTTATTTAAAAAAGAGCCTGGTTAGTAGATTTCTCTCTCTGAAAACCAAACTGTGTCGCAGTTATTGTATAATGCTTGAAAAATAAATTTTGAAGTCTGTGTATGATGGCGTTCCGCGCCCAGCCCAAATGGTCGACAGTGGTGTGTCCTAGGGTCCCCAAGCTTGTCTTAGCAAAGCTGTTTCTCACACATTTCTCAGTCTGAAAAATGTGACACAAAATAACAAACACGCTGTAGTGTTCACAAAATAAGGTAATTTTTTTGCAAAAAGTATCTATCTTTGCTTTTTAGTTCCTCTTTCACAAATGTAATTAAAATCATTGTTACAGTTACTTAAAAAAAAAATGTATGATGTTACAGTTGGAAGTGACAAACAAAAATGACAAGTTACAGTATCGTGATGAAACAAGTATTGCAATACTATCCAAGACTGCTTTAGAGGTTTCTGTTTGAAGCTAAAAGTACACGGTACACGAAAAGATTACATCCTAAAAGGGGCTGACAGGGCAAGCACTAGAGCCTAATATTGGCCATCGTGGTCCCTGTACAAGTAATGCCATGATTACAATGGATCCTCGGCCGCAGCAGAACAGTATGACCTAGGACGGTACCCTGGGCAATGGGGAGTTTTGCTGTGGTTCGGATTCACTTGTGTCAAAAATTAAGTAGTTCCGGCAGCATCAGCGAGGCACCTCATGCTGGGAGCTCCCGCTCCTCAATGACACTCGATAAACGGTACCAGGCTATCGGCCGTGTGGAAATTGATAATTTCCGTACACGCCAAAGTGCACACATGCTGTAAGAAGTCTTAGTCCATCACGTAAACAGTCACACAGACGTACCTGTCATTGGCACGCGATGTCCAGCCATCCATTCTAATGGAGTAACACTCCGCACCTCTGCTGAAAATTTCCTGCAACTTTCTCTTCGCTTCCTTTTTTTTTTTGACTCGTAGAGGTCCGGGATAACTGTTCGTGAGAAAGTCATCCGCGACTGTACGCTGTAGTCTGGCATTGTAAATGCCACCATGTCGACGAAACCTCCCTCTTCAACTACAGTGTATGGGCGCATTCCACGACCGATGAAGTTACCAGCCATCATCATGTGCTTTGCTCTTGGTGTCCGCTTGCTATACGCTGTTTTATGTAGGCCTGATGTGCGTCCGGGTGATTCTTTAGATGGGACGCTAAGGTGGTCGTTGTGCCCGTTGGAGTCTTGAGGATTGCTTTGTGCTTCATGGATCACGCATTAGTGGGGGTGGGTGAGGAGGCAGCGAGCCACACTTTTACATGCAAAGAGCCGCAGCTTGGCCGCCCCTGACAGCCCCTTACCTTCTCACGGGCGTTTAAAATAAAATTTATGTCAAAGGACTTACCGTAATATCCTGGGAAGTAGCCCACCTAAAATCAAGAGCAAAGCAAGTGAAAATATGGAGTGGGCAATTTTTCAATGTGCAATCAAGGAAAGTAAAAAAAATCTATTTTTAAATCATGTGTCCCTTCCAAGCTTCTTATCCGGGCAACGAAGCAAAGATGACTACTTTGGAGTCAGCAATGTTTGCTTATATCCTGCCATTGCTAACTAGCTGCATTTACGTCGAGGCCATATCATTGATCCTAACACTACTATTACTAGATGTGGGCTATCTTTTGGTGTTTAAAAAAATATAGGTAATCAAGTCAAAAATTGGGGTGGGCTGTCTTTCGGGGGTGGGGCATCTCGGCATTTTACGTTTGTGCGAGTGGCAAATTGGCTCTCAATGCCACGTGCCACTTGACGTGTGCTGGTTTGCCTACTCATGAAGGGCTATGGCCGGTCATGAGCAGAGAGGCGCGCTCTTCGTACGGCCTTTGCATCGGGGGTCTTTTCACGCTGCCCCGCCTTTGCCCTCCGTGTGAGGCGTGCTTCGCACTCGCGCGTTTTCGGTGCCACCGCGCTTCGTATGCTCCAAGATCGAGTTTTAAAAATTACTGCGCTTGTTAGAAGAACTTCTCGGCAGAAAGCCAAATACTCAAGGAGACAGTAATCTTTTTGCTTTATATATATTTTTTTAATGGTAGGCCAATTACCACGGGAGGTGTCGCGTTTCAGCCGCAACATTTCTTGAATGTGAAAGTGGTCAAAGGCTATAGTGCTCATAACATCAATCTTTTTCTATGGATGCTATTGTAGCAAATATAAATTGAAACACATTCGGACTGTCATTTCGGGAACACATAGTAACTATGTACCTTGTTTATTCACTCTAAACAAGTGGGCTCTGAAGCAGTACGCCACGAAAATGTCATGAGAAAGACTTACAAGTTTACAGCCTGAAATGCTTTCTTGATGGCTTATGCACATAGGCAGACGGCCTGTCATTATTTTCCGTAACTTTTCTTGCATAGTTAACGAGAAGGATCCTGACAAACGTTTCAGAAATCAAACTAGCCGACCCCTTGACGTGACTCTTTTTGACACCTTCTGGGCAGCTCAGGATGGGTGAGTCATCAAATATGTTTCAATCAGTACTTGCAGGGATCGGAGAACATTTGTCCGTAGCATGTGCTTCACTGCTTTCTCAAAGAAAGACACTACCTTGTCCAAGAGAACAAGAAACTCTGGCTTTGGGAAGAGTCCACTACTGTCTTGACCTTGCACAAGCATAAACAAGGGGTAATTTTTCTTGCTTGTCGTCGGAAGCATGGGGTAAACCCCGTGCCCGGTCTGATGTTTCAATACGAAGGAACCCGACGGGCCCCTGGTAAAGTCCAAAGTGGCTTGACTCCGAAGACGTTGAGTTAGTAGGGAGTGACGACCTTCGTATCGTCACCATGAATCTTGAGGGTCGAAGATTTGCCACTGCGGGTTAGGAGCCCGAGAAGATCAAACGCCATTGAGCCGAGGACACCGTTCCACCCCTAACCCAAGGGGGAAGTGGTCCGGAGACCTGACATCAGTCCCCCCGTCACAGAGAAGACGTTCTTGCTCCCCAGCCCTGCAGCCCACCGACGTACCCAAGTCCAGAGTAGGTCACAGAATGTGAAGCCCCCGAGTTCTTCAATTAGTGCTGATGGTAGAGCTGGAGCGAGGTTTTCAGGGTCAGTATCGGGCATCTGCACTTCCCTTTGCAGCAGGCAGAGTCTTTTCTTTCACAATGTGATCTAGAGCCGCCGTCACAGCCCTTGCATCGAGCGTGTCATTGCCACCACACATGAATCTTATTCTCCCAAAAAGTGCTTTGAGGGGGTTGCTGTTTAGCTTCCTTGTCGGGACGAAGTTGGCACTTTTTGCTGAAAGGAACTTTGTTGTCTCCACAGCTGACTTCGTGCTAAAAAGCAAGGCTTGGAAGGTCTCATTTGTAAAAGCGTTCATTCCTGAAACCACGAGTGTTTCCTGGATGCTTTTCACACATAGCATGAAAGCTCGTTTTGAAGCCACACCAGTCGAGGGTCGTCCTTCATTGAGATGGGTCTTTTCTGTGTCAAACCATTCCTTCATTGTCTTCATGAAATGAATGGTAGGGCGGTGATCTTCGTTCTTCGAAAACAAATAGAACAGGATCACTGTTTGAGTTTTCTTGAAGGTGTTCTAAGGCTGCAATTACATGTGCGGATAATATTTGCACAGCATGAAGCACATTGATCTTTTCTAGTTTTGAGGGGTAGGCATGCTACCTAGTAGGCACATGATTCATTACTAGGAGCATTACTTATTTAGTCAGCCTTATTCTCTGTCCTCTTTCGGCCGTCTCCAGCGACCCGAAGCACGTCCCTGAGCAGTGTGGTTGATTCTGCGGCATCCTCAACCACCCAGGGCAGCCCCAGGACTCCTGCAGGTACGCACATGCACCAAACTGGTTCTCCACAAAGCGGTGTAGCCTGCCTTGCACAGAACCACCAAGAGCATCTCATCGCGTCCATTGCTCCTGGTGCTTCCATGTGACTCATTCGTTTTCTTTTATTTTCCGTCTTTTCATAGCGATAACAAGTGCGTCACTGAGCGGTGTGATTGATTCTGCGGCATCCTCAACCACCCAGGGCAGCCCCAGGACCCCCCCAGGTATGCACACGCACCAAACTGGTTCTCCGCTAAGTGGTGTGGCCTGCCTTGCACAGAACCACCAAGAACATCTCATCGCGTCTATTGCTCCTGGTGCTTCCATACGACTCATTTATTTCCTTTATTTGCTCGTCTATCCATGCCCATAGTGACCCAGGGTGCATCGTCCAGCTGGCTCCTCGCTCTTGCTGCATCCCCAACCACCTTGGTACAAACAGGCAGCCCCAGCATGCCCACAGGTACGCACACGCACCAAACTGGTGCTCTACTGCAAGGCAGTAGAGAATCGGGCCATCCAAGGCAGGCTACTGTAGCCCACCTTGGATGGAATTATCAAACGCATCTCTAACTGGTTGCCATCTTTGACATAACTTAAATATTTTCAAGATGATTCATGTGACTCCATCGTTTCCTTTTATGCTTTTTCCGGACTCTCTTTAGCAACCCAAAGGGTCACAAGTGCAGGTACACCCACTCTGCACGCAGCATCCAGGCGCTGCGAGAAAAAGTGTGCAACGACGCAGACAGCAGGCTTGCAAAGAAATGCAGGTGTGGTCTTTCACTGAAATGAATATCTTGGCATGGCCCAGATTTCACTTTTTACATTAATTTTTACCTAAATTAATATAATTATACATTAATATAATTAGAATTTCACTTCTGAACATTTGTTAGTGCAACTCTTCCCAAACTGGATTCATAAGGTTCCTGGTGTTCAGCAGAGAAGTATCACTGGTTTACCACACTTTTAAATTTCCTCAACTACCCTGCACCTCAGTGAAGTGTCTTTTTAGTTTGACCACCACTGTGGGAGGGGTGTCTGACACCCCCACTGTGGGGGGGAGTGTCAGAAAGAGAGCAAACACGTAACAAATATTACGGCCATTAGCAACCATCAAACGCGGTTTGAACAATTTTGTTTGTTTGACACACTGCATAGGGGTTCACGGTCGTCTAGCGCACTTCCGGCGAACTGTGCGACATTCTTCACACAAGTGCTCGACTTATGCTCTCTTAAAATGGTTTGTACGTGCAAATGTGCCTATATGATTGCAGGATAACTTTATGGGCATAGGATTGTTAAATATTAGTGGAATGCAAGCGGGTGGAGACTTCACTTCGTGCAGTGCTTCGGGGCAGTACAGATAAGAGATAAGAAGTATGCTCAAACTTAGCTTTTCAGCGGCGCCTCCGAGTTTTACCTCGCGTGCCCAGGCATATTAAGAAAAACAGTGATTGCAAAAGCTTATATTTCGTCCATGGACACACAAAGCAAACAAACTTCCTGACCAGCAACACTAATGTAAAGGTGCGAGCTCGATGTATGCGTATATAGCAATCACTATATATACATTATTTACATATCAAGTACAGGTCACTGTCACGACCTTCGAAACCTAGCCGCTCAATCTTGCTCGCGAGCTTTCTCTTCCTCTCGTCCTCTTTTTTTCTTGCCGTTCAAGAGCTGGCGTGATGACCGCTACACTATTCCCTTCTAGGCAATTTAAAGCAGAAAAACGAACTTTGCGGTGCGTTGGTTTGGACACTTTAGTCTGTGAGGAATACTGATGCGACGGTTGGATATGCGTGGGCTTAAGCCTGTCTATTGATACATTCTCTGTTTTTCCGTTTAATAGTATTTGGAAGTATTTCGATGTCCTCTTCAAAACTGGTTGTTACAGCTTGTTGACTCATACACAAGCAAGATCCCCGAACTTCGCAGCGTCGAGATTCCCAGCACTGGCTCGTTCGCATACCTCGGAATGGAAACAGGAAGGCTCGGGCACGAAAATACAACAAGCATGTGTAAAGACAAGCTATACGTCTCGGGCTTGTGCTAAAGCTTTGAGGTCTGGCCATTTAGGCTAGTTTAGAGATAAAAAAATGACGCTCTCAGGACCAGAAAACATGAGATAACGGCCGACAATAGTCCTCGTCTGTGTATATATACTTGTCGACGTGTCGATCAAAACCGAAACCATGCCACTCTCTCCCATGGCCAACTAGTTCCCAGAGTGCAACGCATGCCATGTTGCATGCAGGGGTTTATCCCAATGAGGTTGACAAGATCCCAATAAAAAAAAACCTCGAACCAGCCGAGAATGTCTTTTTCGTCAGTGGGTTGCCACACAATCCCAGGCACTGCACAAAACTGAAACCTCGGAGGCACGGGTGGTGGGTTTTCAGTGTTTATGCGTTGCCACACCCTAACACTACCCAGCGCGTCGTCCCCTTCGTCACTTTGGTCGTCGTCTAAGTCCGTTTCGTATTCAAAAATCCATGTCCGACTCACTTTCAGAGACAAATTCGATGTCTTCATCGTTGCTACTGTTCGAACTGCCGCAAGAGAGAGCCCGTTTCCGAGGGTCCGAGGTCACCGGCATCACTCAAGCGTGCTGCCATTTCTGATCACTGTTGCAAGGCTAGATAGACGTCAAAGGCCAAAACACGCCTGTATTGAAAATTGAAACTAAAGCCGATGGACGAAGCTGTCTTGTGTTTGGCAGTGAAAGCAAACCATCATTGTGGCTGGATGAGTGTGACTAGTCATCGGCGATACTGGTACAACTTTTCATGACGAATACAGCTCGGGCCGAGTGGTTAAAGGGTTAACTAATATGCACATCAGCCTTAAAGATAGCAACATTGATAGCAACGTGTCACCGCTCGTGCAGCGAGAGCACCATTCGAGGCAGTCAAGGCTACCGTCTCGCGCTAGCGCAGCCGCTGCGGTTCCACCTTACGAGCGGGCAAAGCCGAAGCTAACAGCATGCAGCCTGAAACTGTGCAAGACAAGCCCGCCTGTAAATTAGAAAGGTCAGGTTCGAATTTAGAACGCTTGCTGCCGTTAGCTTATCTCGAGGCAGTATCTCCGCTTGTACAAAAAAAAAAGAAAACGCCAACGAGCGTCTTTTACGCGCATGCAGATACACGGACAGGGCACTACCGCACTACGTATGGGGCACCATGACGAAGCCCGTGCGACACCGACCTCTAGCCACTTCCATGCATGTCGCAGTTTCCAATCGCGAACCATTATGTACCTACAAACGCTTACCAATTGGCTGTACCGACACGCTGGGACGGCCGGGCTCTTGGTGGCGTGTCCAGCATGTCCCCGTCGCCTTCAGATGCTTCAGGTGATGACGAAGCGGAAGGGTCGTAAACGTAGGGCTGTAGCCCGAATCTTCTGTCAGCAACCATGGCCGAGAAGGCATCGTCCTCATCTTCGCTGATATCACTGACATCGCTTACGACTTCTTCATGGGCCCAACGGTAACCACCTTGGCCGGCCATCGAGATGGTCGTGGTTGCCGACTTGCCGTGGTGCAGCGTGCGCGCAGCTCTTGCACATCTCAAACGGCCAAGTTGTCACAGGTCGTATATCGTCGACGCGCCGTCGAGTGGCAACGCTCGTAACCACAACATCCACGCCGTAGCCTTTCCCTACCGGCACAAGTGACGTCACGAATGCGCCCAATATCCCAAGACGCATCGCGCTCTCCGATGGCTGATTTTCGAGCGCGCGCTCAATCGGGCCCTTCAGGGTGAAAAATATAGCCATCCGTTCAAAATACAAACGCGCGATTATGATTTACGGATATCATTGATCATATTAAACCTATTTCTGACCATAATAGGTGTATTTCAACTTTCGCTTAAGTATCCCTTTAAAAGAGCCTTCAATAGTAGCTTGCTTCAGGTTACGACTCCGCTTGCGTTCGGCCACTTTCTGTTAGCTTGAGAATCTCCACCTTCTTTTATAGCGTTACAGTTGAGTACTTTTCGCGCTTCTTAGCGGTACTTCAGAGCAGCGGAAGAACAGACAGGGCCACGACATCCAAGCCAGCATAGTCCGAAAACCCGATTCACCAAGACAAGATGAAAACCACAAGTCCACGACTACAACATGCCAAATGAACAGAGAAAAACGGTAACAATGATAATGTTCAAAGCTAAAGAAAAACAAAGCCGTAACATGGCGTCACCTAGTAGTAGGGCTTAGCAGTATTCAAGTAGCACTGCCAAACCTAACCAATCCATGTGCAGTTAACATGGAATCTAAAATGGCGGCTCCTTGGCGGTGTTTCCCTCCGTTCGCTGGTGACGTTGGCTCGCGACATGCACGTTGGCTATCCTCGTGGCCTCCACATTCCAAGGTGCCAGCTGGGCTTCTCCCTGGTGAGTGTTGTCATCTTTAGTCGAGCAGAGCAGAGGCCTACTCTGACTCCGTAATGCTAAGACCCCTGTCAGCAAGGACCAAGTCTTGGGGCCGCACGTTACCCAAAATCCAGCACCTTTCGGTGATCAGCTTATTGTTTGATCAACTGCACCACCCCCTAGAATTATAAGTAACTGTTCCCTGAGGAGCAAACCGAATTAAGTATTTCACTATAATATGGTGCTTATACTGGCTCTATCTGATGCAACGGGCAAGGTGTGAGGTCGGACGTTCAATGAATGTCTCGAAGCAGTGGAGGATGACTGCAGCATCAGTACCAAAGGCAACGCGGAAGCACATGGGCATGGCGTGTACCAGCTGCTCTCTTGTCGGCCACCTGACCAGCCTTTCCAGGCTGAAGTTTACGCTATCAATCAACACTTCATCACAACCCCTGAGACTGTGACTTCTGGGACATCAGACCTGTAATAAGGAAAAGGAGGAGGAAGAATAGAAAATAATGGTTTATTTGTCAATACAGGCAAAAAAAGAAACAATAATTGCATTTTGAGATTGAGACAGGTTAATTCAAGTTGTAACACACAATGTAAACTATGCATGTTTTCTGGCAGATAAGTGAAATGCATTTTTTGTATATGAAATCCTCTCGAGGCACATTCAGCTGGAGCCGGATCAGGGTCACCAGATACTCCTGGAACTGCAAGGCATTAATTTATTTTTATTTATTTATTTATTTACATACCTTGCTTCACCAGGTCCTTCAGAAGCGTAAAAATTCCATTCAGAAGTTGGAAGTTCGGCAGTCCAGTATAAAACTTGGTGAGTTTCTCGTCCCTCCGGACGCCAGCATGAGCTGGGCATCATCCATTTAGGCTTTCTAGCAGGGAATATACCTCCACCCGGAGCCAATTGACTTTCTGGTTAAGCTGACCAGCCATTTCCCGCGAGCAGTCATCTGCCCGTGTTCCTGAAGAATAATCATCAGTTGCCTGGACTGTTGCAGAAAGCTTTGGGAGCACAAGTTTGTGGGCGCTCTGCCCACAAACTTGCAGGTTGCATGCAGGCTATCATATGTGGCCATCCGCTGCATGAAGGAATGGCCCGACATGTACGGGCCGACACTTGGCAGTCCTGTATACTTCCTACCTATTTCACGCATCATTCCTATTTCCTTGGCTTGAAATGCTTTATGTTATAAACTTAAATTTCTCATTTAATTAAAAAAAATGCCTTAAAACCTTGCCACTGGTGAAATGCAGTTCAAGGGCCACCTGGAACTGCCTTTCAGCTGATACCTGTTTGGGCAGTAATCCTCCGACAGTAGAATTTAATTTTATTAGAATAGCCCACTCCAGCAAACC